TTTGTTTGAGTCGCCCCAGTTTTATCAATTATGTCACCATGTTTTAGTCAATAGTAGACCACTATCTATTTTTGATGAATATAAGTACAACTGTACAGCCTCTAAAAGGTGATATCATCCATAAAGATAATTTTCTTCGCTGAATTCGCCTTTTATAATCTGCAATGTATACACTGACAGTGAGACGTAAAAGAACCTGTGAATTTGTGTTGTAATATAGTACATAAGTTTTCATCAAAATCCTTATATTATTTCCATTGGGTTCTGAGTGAAATACACGGCTTCAGTAGAACAACCACACTATTTTTCTATTCTCTGTAGTCCTCCTTAGCTGGTCCTGTTGAAACGGAAGAGGACGAAAGACTTGGTGAGGTATGTTTATTTGGAATAGCAAAATTATGCACATCTTATCTTCAACGCACCAATTGCACAGATCTTTCGTGTTGTACTACTTCTCACCTTTCTTCATATTGTGTTTCGTTGTGTTCTATTCACGTCAGCCATATATGATCGCAATGCTGTATTATTTACTTTCTCTAACATCAAATCTGTCTCCGTACTATCTGATGCTGTTATGCCTATGAACGTCTGTTTATATACTACTTATAAATCTTATCAGTAGCACACGCCACATCATGAATACTAATAAGCTTTCATCTGAGATTTATGAAAGTATAACTGGCTCTTATATCAACAGATTTCTGGGAAAGTCCGCATATGAAACACTGCACTGACAGAAAAGTATGTGCACTTCAAGAGTGCCATTCAAATAAGCAGTAAACGAAGTTTTAGTTGTACAATATTTGAAAGAACAAAGAAGCTTTGTTTTTTTAACACCAAAGAACACTAAATAAAACAAATAAGGATATGTCCTCAGTGTTCCATCAAAAAATGTGCGAAAATCATAAACATCAACAAAACTTCTTAATAGTTTTAAAAACAACATTCATGAAAACCTGCCGCCTAAAGTAATCAGTATGTTTGGATAGATGAGGAGGGGTAGACTTCAAACATTCGTTCAGAAAAAAACTACCGGTTCTTTGAAGAAGATTGTCCAGCGCCAAGAGAAATGCAAATGGTTGATTATTGGTGATATGATGCTAACGTTTGTTTAGGGCAAAATCAGTAATCACAAAAATGTTATTTGTATGTCCACAGAGCAAAGATTGGCGGTTAAATCTCTACCTTAACTTTGTTGGCTTTGAAAACGCCTTTGACAGAGTTAACTGTGAAGTACTTCGTAGACTACTTTAACACTACGCACTGCATTGCTCCAAGTTTTTATCAATCAAATTTAACAGCTATAAAACATTGCCACGTGTCATGTGATCCACAAGGGAAATCTCAGGGAAACCTTTGAGGTGAATACAGGCAGAAGTAAGACAGGGTTGACTACTATTACCCATTTTGGTGGACTGGATTACGCAAACTCCTTTACGTGAGTAGCGAAGGGACAGGAAACTCTGGATAGAGAAGAAGACTTTAGAAGATTGGGATTCGGTGAATGATTTATGCCTATTATCATATAAACTGGAAGATCTACAGCTGAAAACTACCAAGTTGGCAGAGAAGGTAGACAGCAAAGACAGGAATTCAAGTGCACATAGATAAGATAGACATGATGAAGGAAACCAGCAACGACAACAATAAAAACGACAACAAAAGACTTCACTCCCCTCAGTTATCTGACCAGGTCGACTCATTTCAACTGCAGACAACTCCAAGGATGAGGATGTCACAGCTAGCAAGAATCAAAACAGCATGGCAGGCCTACATCACTCTGAAATCAGCTTGGAAACATGTGTCAATACACTCAGTATAGACGAAAATATTTGGATTTTCAACACTAATGTTAAGTCAGCCAGTTCTTTCAAACGGTTCAGAAACTTGGCGCGTCATTTGAAGCATTTCCAACTTGTTGCCTCAAACTTCTATCAGCAGCTGTTCTCACTGGATCAGTATTGAAGTTTAGATGGCTAGCCAGAGAAAACTAGCAATTCGAAACTCTGGGAACGAACCAAACAAGAACCTGCTGTTGTAGAACTACGCTGAAGAGAATGAAGATTGATCGGATGCAAGCTGATGAGATTGTTGGATGACGTCGCTCTCCAGGCCATCCATCGAGTAGAATCCAATTGGGAAAAGATGAGTTAGCCGTCTGTTCGACGGTGACATGAAAAACTTGACGATCTATGGGGAATCTTATAGCCAGATGAATAGGATTGCAGAGAACAGGATAAAATATTGATGTTCTACTGAACCTTTATATTCTACTCGGAACCCTTTGCACTACTGTGATCCTTCAGTTTTAATCTGTCACCAAATTTCTTCTGTCACAAACAATATATTTTACACTGGGTTTGTTCTGTTTATTTTATTCCATTTTTCACAGTTTCAATCTTTTCACACATTCGTTTGAACAATGAGAGTAAAGTAGCTTGATTTTATTGCGCCTAACTCATTTCCGTATTGAAATAACCTCTCAGTATTCATTTATGTGCTTGCAGAAAAAGTATGTAATCATATGCACAGGTTGTTTATTTGATATGCACCAGTAGAATTTATGAATTCATAAAATCATGTTTTACTAAATTTCGTTATTTGCATTAGATTAACACTTAATTTAGATCATAAAAAAATAAAAAGGTAATGCAGAAATTAACAGTGCCATTGTAACTAGTGTTATGAATATAAGCCAACTGATTGCAGTTCATTATTATTTTATTGCCTCAGACCAAAACGTGTTCTCATTAGATGTGACTTCGTTGTTCAACAATGTACCCCAGACAAACAATGTCTGGTAGATATGCAATTGTATCGATGCACAATGTTTAGTCCCTGGATTGGTAACAGCCTACCCCAAAGAAATCTTATTGAGATGCATATTGAGTCGTCAGTTCACTTTCAGTAAATTAGATTTTTAGACGGATAGATTGAATTGAATGAGAGGGCATCACCACTGGCTTTATTACTGGCTGAATGTTTTGATCCGAGGCTAGGAAACCCTCAACTTAGTCAAACCATCGGTTAGTTAGATATTTATAGAAGATACCAAGATTGCACTCTGGTCATCTGAGATAAGGACGTAATTTTTGATGATATCTTGCTTGCATTCAACCACTACCAATAGATGTATTGACAGATCTGTCTAAAGAATGATCTGCCAGAAAGGTATATGAGACGGACAACTAACTGATTTTACAGTTGAGTGCCTATCTCCAGGAAAGTAAACTTGATTCGTGGGCTGTGCTTTAAGACAATAAACATTTGAAGTTCTGAGTGCGTTGACTAACATTTTTCCTTCCTAAAAGAGCATCTCCAACAAACTTCGGACCTTCACTAACAGTTGTCTTTGCTCAGTACTCAAGATCAGATGGCCAGAAAAGATCAGCAACAGGGATCACTGACAGTAAACCAACCAAGAACCGATTGTGCAACATACAAGCAGGAAAAATGGAGATGGATTGGCCATACGTCGAGGAGAACATCAAGTGACATCACTAGACAAGCACTTATTGGAGTGGAACCCGAAAGGGAAGTGGCGAGTCGGTCGTCCAAGGGTGACTTGGAGGAGGTCATGTGAGGAGGAGATGAAAGCATGTGGGCAGACTTGGAGGAGGGTGAAAAAGGTTGCAGAAAACCGAGAACAATGGAGATGCGCAGCTGAAGCCCTATGTTTCTCTAGGAATTAAAGGATATAATAAATAATAATATAAAAAATAGAAGCCACACTTTCAGAGGACAGTTCGTGGAACAATTCACTGGCAAAAGCTCGAAAGATAAGTGATACAAACTGGTCACTGACTTTGTTGCAAAGAAAGCTATATTGATGAATTTGGAATACGAAGGCGATCAGGCATTAGATTTGCTGGAAAATTATCTCTCTAAATCGGCCAGCAAAATATTGTTTGCCATAAACCTATAAGTTGTTCTCCACTTCTAAAGAAGATGACCTTCCCGATCTGGCCACTTCCAAGTAAATCTACTAATTTACTTGCCCTTATGAAGCCAGATACATTAGCCGTAGCCAGAGAAAGCCTCCCACACGGATACGAGAACACATTCTGGCATAGTTTCACAAAGGAGAGAGGAAGGATGTGTGAAGCTGTATTCGAGAACACTTGAACGACTTCTGTCACCCTGACAATATCATCTATCGAACTCATGGGTTATTTTTGTTCTAAACTGCTAAAGACAACAGAGTCCTTGGCCAGTGTTGTAATCAAGCCAGAAATTTTTGTAAAAATAATTATGTACAATCTCTACTTCTGCCTCGGCCATAGAGGGATGAGCATTTATTTACTCCCTATCCATCCTCTTTATTTAGTTAATCTATCTATCTTTCCCTCATTACTACAACTTTAATCACGATTATTATTTTTGTTTTGATCTGTCTCCATTATTATCTCACATGTCTCGCTTGTCACTTTAAGTCAAACATTTTTCGGAAGGCTGAATTTTATTTGTTTCCTCGTGGGGGACTCATTTGCAGTAAGCACCTACCGGGGTTTGAACCCAGAACATTTGAAAATTAATCTGATGCTCGCAAGTGACTGGTTACAGGAAAAAGTTGCCTAGAGGTCTCTGTGGTGAGAATTCGTGGCCAGTGGGATTCATCCGGTAGGGAGTGAGGAAAAGTACTTGGCAATAACACTAGCCCGTGGTGGAAGTTAGAATTCGTCATTTGGTCGATGAATGGGGTCCAAGTACTTGAATGGTCAACTGGAATGGCCTTGCAATCGGAAGGTCTTGAGTTCCAGTCCTACTGGGTGGGTGCTAACGGTTAGTCCCAAGCACTAGGAAGCAATATCTATCCAGTATTTACTAGTTTCCTAGTGCCTTCCTAACTGATATCAATCCGTGATCAAGGTTGGGGCCAATCAAAACTAAATAAACCAACTCTTGAAAATTCCGCTTTATAAAATTTCACTTCGTGTTACGTAACTTTTGTTATCTGCTTACTGTTCCTTTATTTTTATTTTTTTATTTTTGATTTACAGCTTGATTCCACACTGTATTTTTCGTACAAGTATGGAATTTTCAGCATGGATATCGGTAGCCCAAATTTTGCAGGCCGACCATAGATATCAGGTGTTCGTCGGCGTGGGCTCGAACCCCGGACCATGTGCATGGTCGGCGAGAGTCCTAACCACTGTGCCACCGACGCACAGGTAACATCTACTTATTCTATATATGCCATTATTTGCTTCACCACCTGCTTTTTAATATTTAACTTTGATTATAATCACAAAAGTTTCACTTGCATTTAGCATTATTATCATTTTATGTATTTAAACCTTTTTAAATTTCTACATGGGATATAATTTCCTGAAAGTCGTATATCAATATGTATATACATATAATTGTTCAGCTTCATAATAAATTCATCGAAAGGAGTCTATTCGCTGAATTTTGTGTTCTTAATGTCACATTAGGAATTATTGAATAAGCAATCGAGTAAACTGTCTATTTGTAGGCGCAACTCATTTCTATTTTATTTCTTAGTAATCGCATTTGATTTTATTGAGGTCTTCAACAACTTTAGGGTGTACTACAGAATTCGCAACTAGTTTTAATACTTCCTTTGCTTATTATTATTATTATTATTACTATTGAGGAAAGCTTTTCTATTGACTTGTTCAGCTTTTAAACTTAATATTGTTCCAATATGCTGTTGGTCAGTAGCCAAAATTTTTCAATCATCTGTTCTCCCTTCTGATCGTTTTTATCGATAATATTATTAGCCAGCATTTTAGAATGACCATTTTCAATCAGGATTTGTTCTATAGTGGATGTCTAGTTCTGAATATCATCATAATATGTTATGTTTCTAGCTTTTTTAACGTGATTTAAAGCTACTGAAACTTTCATTAACATCGGATGATCTGATTGAAAATTCAAACACTTGTCTGAATGTATCGGCATCCTGTATGTCGCAAACTTTAGTTTCCCATCAGTTAATCATTCTGTAAGACAATTCAGAAAGTTTAGAGTTCCTTTGTTCTCTTCTCTTTCATTACTAAACTTTATATACTTTGAGATTAGGTTAATTTGCGTTAGTGAGTTTTCTTTTTCAGCTTTCTTAGTGACGATATATATGTATCGTCTACATGTCCATATCATATTCTCAGATGACAATTAAAACTTGTCAGTGCTTTTCCTTCTAGAGATTTCATATAAAGATTTGCTACAACTAGAGATGCTAGTGATCATCCAATTGCAACTTCATTTGTTAGACAGTACTGTAGTTCGTCTTTAAAAGTAAAATAGGTACATTCTAAACAAAGTTTGAAGCATCTTTTAACGTCTTATATTGATAATTGTGCGTCGGCGATACAGTGGTTAGGACACTTGCCGACCATGCACATGGTCCGAGGTTCGATCCTCTGCCGACGAACACCTGATATCTATGGTCGGCCTGCAAAATTTTGGCTACCGATATCACATGCTGAAAATTCCATACTTGTACCAAAAATACAGTGTAGAATCAGGTCGTAATGAAAATAAATAATGAACATTAAGCTGTTACTTCCTGATTGTATTCAAATTCATATTTAATAATAGGAATACAAGTAAATAGAGAAATCACATCAAAACGTGCCATAGTTTCATCTTCTTTAATCGTCATATCCATTACTTTTCCTTTAAACTCCTCCATATTTGCAGTGTTTGAAGGAATATTGTGTTGAAGTGGTTTCAGTATTCTTGGTAAGTGTTTTGATAGAGTGTCCGTTACTGAACTGGTGAAATCAATTACCGACCTTAAAGGAACATCCGTTTTCTGGATTTTCAGTTTTCTATAAAACCTCACTGCCGCGCTTGTTTCGTGAGCCACTGAAAACCGTGCTGAATTCTTTAGTTTTGGTGTCAATTCTCCAAGCAGATTATATACTTCTACTTTTACTTTGTTTATAATTCTACACATTTTCTTAACTGGTACTTGTGCCTATGGATATACCCCAAAACTTTCTTCTCATAGTCATATCGATTAAGGATCACATTGACATTGACTTTGTCAGCTCTAGTTATAATGTCAGATTTGTCTAATCTTAATGTTTGTATGTATTTCTCTATCCTAAAATGCTCATTTTTCTCACTGCGAATTTCGTTCTCACTCATTTGTGCTCTGGGTGGAACACTGAGCTCAGAGCAATTGAAGTTCCATAAGATTCGGTGTTGTTTTAACGAAATGAAAGTTCTGGACCCATCTCCAAACTTTTCTTTCCTCCAGACTTACTTCAGGCTGGTAAACTAAATGAGGTACCAGAATTCCTCTTTACGTCAAAACTGAATTTTAGACAACATGCCTGGTAGATTAGAATTTTACTGCTGAAACATAGACGCTGATGATTTACTTTAAAAGTCAGTATGACTGCAGTTGAAGTTCTGTCCAAAATACTGAAATTCTGCGAGCAGTAAAACTATGGAGTAATTTTCTTATCTTTTTAATGACATAACGCATCATAACAGATAGTAGAACGAATCATAAGGAAAATATGTAAACAGAGAGAAAAATTTTCTTTCCAACGAAACAGATGTCTATATATTTGTTCTAGAAAATGCATGATTTAGTGCGAGGTGTAATCTAGGAGAGGGGGGGGAAGGAATAACTAAATGGAGGTTAAGAAATGAAGGCAGAAGTTGATATATTGCGATAAGTGTGAGAAAATAACTCACCAACATAATTGTGCAATCCAAAGCAGTCCTACAGGAGGCCAGTCGCGATCCCGAATAGCTCAGCAGTATAGTATCAGACTGCGGCTTTGGGTGACGCTGTTTTGAATCTCAGAAGAGAAGTGAGTTCCTTCAGGGTTACAGATATGCCTTGCTGATGAGTGCCAACTAGCACGAAACCTAGGTCAAGGCTTCCTTCCGATTACCTCCAATCATCTTATATCATTAAATCAATATGCACTGTGATGGTGAGCTACATGGAATGGTGGCCACATTTCAAACCTGACTGATAGAATTCAGTCTGCACCAAAATGAGGACTAGAGACGTTACACTGGTTACTAGTGTCAAATCAAAAATATAATTACGTAAAGTAGACAAAAACTAGTGGAAAGAGGATAAAGTACTTTTATGAAATCAGTATGAAAGTGTGATGTTACTAATAAATAATGATACAATGACTATAAAATAATAATAGTAAAAGTTATATTGGTAAAATTACATATTAAAATGAACCAAAACCTGCTGTAAGGACGGTAATCTGGTTTAGGTACGGCGAGGGATGTATGTAGTGTTCTACAAGAACAAGTAAACTGATAAATACACACTGAAGTGGCTAAAAGCGGTTTCCTATTCTTAACTCCTGACTAGATTAGCTCTCTGCTGGAGAATGTGATACGTAAAATGGCTACTTGAAACGTCTTCCTCAGATATTTGGAAAGGCGCTTTTTGAGAATTTGTGCTCCCGAATCACCACTGAGTTTCAGATTCATGAGGGGAATTTTCTTAGGAACAACTGCAGCTTTCAGTAACGGTGCCTTTTCTTTCTAGCTGGACACTTATTATTACTTAGATTATATAAACACTTGAATGAATTTATCCTTGTTATTAGTGTTATTTTGATCGCCTCGATTGTCATCTATCAATTTAAATCCCTAAACTTCGATTCCACGTTTTAATTAACCATTTGAATTCAAATGCCTATGACCAGTATTTCATTTTATTAATGTAAAGCTTGATAATACTTCATCGAAAGTACTTATTCGCTTATTTCAGTAGTGTTCTAAAATTATCATTATGGGAATATATATTATTTTATGTTTATGTCGATAAATCTTTGTGGTTACCCGTTCTCCAAGGTACAGTACCATATTATTATTCCCTTGCGTTCCAAATTAAAAATAGGGCTTCAACATCAGCTCTCTACTTTGTTCTGTTTTCGGCCTCCCTCTTCATCTGGCTCCAGGATTGACCAAACTCTCATCTCTTCCTCAAACGATCTCCTTAACGTCACTCTAGCATTGACGACCCACTTTCCGCTTCCCGTTTGCCCTCCACTCGAGCAATGGCTTGGCGTGCGATGTCATTCGACGGTTTCCTCAATATGTGCCCAGTCTGTCTCTATTTTCTCTTACATATTTGTTGAGCAGTCGTCCCTTAGTTGGTTTGTCACCAGAGGTTCTTGGTGCTTACTTTTTTGGACAGCCATTTGATCTTCAGTGTGGAGCAAAGTGGGTAGCTGTTGGTGAAAGTCTTCAACCTGTTTGAAATCCTTTCCGTGACACGCTGGCCAATTTTCTGACCCATAAAGAGCAACCGACTTGATATTAGTGTTGAAAATGAGAGTCTTGTTCCTTATACTGATTGCAGAAAATTTCCAAACTGGTAACAGGTTTATAAAGGTGTACCTTGCCTTTCCAATTCTGATTTTGACATCTTCGTTCGTTACGACTGCCTGTAGTTGAAACAATGCCTCGCAGATTAGTGAAGGAGGCAACCTCTGTTAAATTTCTCCCTTTGGTGGCATCATACAGAAGGTTTCAATTCATTCTCTATCGTATCTTCCAAACAGATTTCTCCAAAGTCTAAGCATAAGTTACTTTATTAGGTTTTTCTTTCCAATCAGTTATGCAAAGTACTGGAAATTAATAAACAGTCCACTTCATGTTGGTGTGCGGTATATCGATTCTAGGATCGAGTAGTCTTGTCCTGTAGTAGGTATTACAGCCAGGAATTCAAGGATTGTTTCATGGAGAGGGATAGCTGCTTCATTTTGCTATTAGCGCGGCCTACTTAAATCGCCGGGTTACCCAAATTTAGAAAGCAGAAGGACTGAACAAAGAAATATTTACTTTTCAATTGGATCCTCATCTCTGGCTCTTCTCTAATACGCATATATAGCATTTTTATTACAACATACAACAGTTTACCAATCAAATGTCGATGTGTTTGTTAACAATGATTAGTCAGTGTCAGTATGTCAATGGGTTGATAATTAACGAAGAAAATTAATACACACAATTAAAAGGTAGAGATGGTCACAACACATGGATTGCTTAATTCATAATTTTGTAAAAATGAAGAGTAAATAAAGAATAGCCGTATGCACACGTTGATTACATAACAGATAGGTAAAGAAAATAAAAAGATTTGGATAATGATAACTTGTAACTAAAGATGAAGTGGTCATAAGAATAAAATAATTTTACAAAGATAATAGATGAAGTCATCAGACAAAATAATAAAATCATTTGGACAATGATAATTTTTTAAAGGTTTGGGGGAGGGGGGCGAAGTTGTCCGGTTTATACATTCATGTGGCGATGGCCAAGGTAAGGAAAGTAGCTGTACAAATTTCTTCTGAACACACAGGTTTACTATTGCTTCACCTGTGTATAGAAGATGAAATAGTGAAGCAAAATTAAGATTAGTAGGAATGCGATAACGTCAACCTTATGCTCGCTATCTATAAGGTGGGCTATAATAGAGCTACGAATAGATTTTGTTTGTCTCTTGTTTAACCATGTTGGATGATGTTGGGAATTACGATGTTGAACCTGCCTAATTGTACGCCCAATGTAGCTGGTTCCACAGCTGCAGTCAAACTGGTAGATACACATAGAAGAGGCAAATTTAGGGAGTTTATCCTTATTTCTTGGACGCACAATAAGGGTAGTAGTGAAGATACAATGTACCTCTTCTGCATGAGAAGCCCTTTTAACTACAGTCTTCAGGCGCTGTGTTATTGTTTCGCTGATAATGTCTCCGAGAAACTACAGTTTTATGAACAGTGGTTTTTTTCGGTACAGTTGCCATACTGACTCTCCTAGGTGCTGAATTCATATTTTTCTCAATGAATTTAAAACAAGCAATAAAGCTGAATAAAGCAGGATTTAATGAATGCATCAAATTTCGGTAGAACTCGTCCGAAATTTGATGAATTCATTAAATCCTGCTTTATTAACCTTTATTGCTTGTTTTAAATTCGTATCGGGAAATAAATGTTTTCAATTCTTGAAGAAGCGTCTCCCAAAAAGCACTATCAATGCACTAAATGATCTAGTGAAATTGAAGTGCAGGATTGCTAAACACTCTGCACGACGAGATTTTTTGAAGGAATGTATCCAGAATAATATTTATCCTCGAACATTTTACAAATCCTTGCGTAAAGATCATTTGAGACCTACACGGGCAAATCTTTACCGTCTTGCTGAATCACATTTGTGTTCTGAAACAGATGAAATCAGTAATTTATGCCTATTGTCAAGCAAACTGATCAGTGTACAAAATGACTTAAACTTCGTATGTTATATTAAATTCACTAAATATCTGCATGCCACATCAAAAAAGACAAAAGAATCAGAAGAAAAGAAACTGAAGAAGTCACTTCATCCGGAACCGCCAAATGAAATTTTCCCAGTGGATATATCTAATTATGTTCATAATTTATCTGATGTTTCCCTATCAAAAGAACAAGCAGAAATTCTGTCATTGGGATTCTGTGTTCCCATGAAAAGATAAAGCAAATTGATATCGAATGCCAATTCGAAAATCTTTATGATCAACTTATAGGGCTACATGCCACGTCCAGTGACAGCGAAAGCTGGTTGAAAGCAAAGATGGTTGATATTGCTCATCAATTTCGAGTCATGCCGACCAATCAAAAGTCGCATATCACCAAAGAACACTGGCGATCTTTAAACAAGCTTCGAAAAGACAAAAATCTTGTTATCCTACAAGCTGATAAAGGACAAAGTGTAGTGCTAATGAACAAGATAGATTACCTCGAAAAAATGCATCAAATTCTCGCTGATGAATCTAAATTCAAATTGGATAACCATGCAAAAGACCAAACGTTATCAACCGAAAGGAAAATTGTGCAGCATCTACGACAACTCTTCAAAAATAAATACATCGACGAAAACACATATAGAAATATCAAACCGATTGGGTCACAAATCCCAAAACTATACGGACGCGTAAAAATACACAAACCAGGAGCGCCGTTAAGACCCATACTCTCTATGATAAACTCACCATACCACAGATTAGCACAGTGGCTATGTGAACTGTTGCAACCCTTGCTGAAACGTTTCGGAACACATTTAGTCTCTGATTCATTTCAATTTGTCAATCAAATTAAAGATTTCAATGTATCCGATAAGCATTTAGTCTCTTTCGATGTTACCTCCCTTTTCACAAATGTGCCAGTTGTTGAAACTATCGACTTCATATGTAAAGAAGCTGAAGACATACCCATTCCAACATCGGAATTGAGGAAATTACTACTTTTATGTACTAAAAATGTCCAATTCCAATTCAACGGGCGTCTGTTCCGTCAAGTTGATGGTGTCGCAATGGGAAGCCCTTTGGGACCACTTTTCGCCGACTTATTCTTGTCACGCCTAGAAACCGGTATTTTGCAGCAACATATACAAGAAACAAATATATACCTAAGATATGTTGATGACATTTTTATTGTCTGTGAAAGCAGATCAAAAGCGGAAGACATGTTAATAAAATTCAATTCATGCCATCCAAATCTCAATTTCACAGTAGAACACGAGGAAAACGATACTATTAAATTCCTAGACGTTTTTCTAGCCAAAATGAATGATGGCACAATCGAAACATCTATATTTGGAAAGTCTTCATGGACAGAACAGTACATGATATAAGTATAAAACTTGTGCACTGTGGTAGAGTATAATTCCATTATAGATAAGATTTTTATTTTGATGAATCGCACAGTGTTTACAGTTATATGAACTGATGACGTTTCGAGCACAATTTATTCAATAAATTGTGCTCGAAACGTCATCAGTTCATATAACTGTAAACACTGTGCGATTCATCAAAATAAAAATCTTATCTATAATGGAAGAACAGTACATGCATTTTAAAAGCTTTGTTCCAATCTAGTACAAAAGGAACTTAGTCAGAACACTGTTCAAAAAAGCACGAAAAATTTGTTCTGACAGTACCATTGAATATGAAATAAAATCTCTGAAGGATATTTTATCTAAGAATGGATATCCTGAAAAGCCCATTAATAAATACTCTAAAGAAACTACCCCGTGTAAACAATTCAAACAGTTCCAAAGAAACCTGTCTATATCGGTTTGCTGATCAAAGGGGATGATGTACAGGAAGAAGTCAAACGAAGACTCAACAAAGCCATCAAAAGAACTTATTATGCTGCAAAACTTGTTATCCTTAACACCACCAAGCGAGTGCTTCAACAATCTGAGAAAGACCAGTCCCCACTCCTCGACACTTCAAACTGCATATATCAATTTGAGTGTTTTGTGGCAGCAAATACATAGGTCGTACGGAAAGGCGATTGTCTACTCGCATGATGAAGCATTTGCCAAAATGGTTGAAAACAGCTGAGTGCAAAGTGCCAAAACCCCAATAACAAAACATCTTGTGGATTCCGGACATGATATCGACGCGGTCAAGTCATTCACCATTGTTAGCAAACAAAGAAACAAGAAGATGCTTGCAGTTGCAGAGGCGTGTGCAATTCGAATTTATAAACCAGCTCTCTGTGTACAAAAGGAGATGGTCGTCACTCTGAATCTACCATGGTAATACGTTTTGCTTATTATTCTCTACTTGTTATTACTATTATCCTACCTCTTCTTATTATTAATAATGTTATTATTATTATCATTAATATCATTCTTGATTCATTTTAAACTATGCTTCATCAGCAAGATTATCTTAACTCACTTCAACACTATTATTAATATAACTATTACTATTGATATTAGTCTGTTTGCAATTCTTGTTATATTCTCTAATGTCTAATTGTTTATCTAAGTGATGTAATTGAAGCGTAATGCAATTTATCTTAATTTTGATCTCTCATACTCTCTCTCTCTCCTCTTATCTATTTGAACATGACCTGGAAAACATTCGCACCTGTCGTCTTTCTGCATGACTAATTAATGTAGTTTATTTGCTTACTTATCAATCTTATGTCTCTCAATGTGACTTGAAAAGTATATATATCGTGTATGTAGAGTATTCAGCTGACGAGCTCTATCGAAATTTGATGAATTCATTAAATCCTGCTTTATTAAACCTTTATTGCTTGTTTTAAATTCGTATTGGGAAATAAATGTTTTCAATCAACTTATCTGGAAAACCGTGTTTTCTGACTAATTCTCTAATAATCTTAAGCTCTTCATTGATGCAGTCGTCTGAACAGATTAACCCGGCTCTAGGAATGAGACACTTTACCAAGTTACGTTTATATTTCAAAGGTACAAAACTCAAAAAGTGAGTGTATTAACCTGTTTTTGTAGGTTTCCTATAAGTACTCCTGTTTAGCGTGCCATCTTCTTTCTTTGCCAGGAAGACGTGTTGGAATGACCCACTGACATTACTTTCTTTTTTCCATTGTAAAGTTTGTTGCTGGATGGACATCATTAAACTTGTTAAGGATGTCCATTGCATCATTTTTCTAACTTTATATCTATGAAAATACATCGTGTCTCATACTGTATCCACATATCTACATATTTTTCCAATTAGCACAAACCTAACGAGTCTCACACGGTTTCACCTCGTTTTCCTGCAAAAGAAATCGAAAATACCTATTTTTTCTTCTATAATCAAAACCATAACCACTTTTCCATTTTATAAGCAGAGATATTTTATACTAAGTATATTTTCTTATCTCTATTTTTACGTGTGTTCTGTGTTGGCCTAATAAAACTACTGACGGTTTTATTTCCTTTACAGAAATGTCTACAAGCTTCAAAAGCATTATAAAGTAAGTTTACTTAAAAACAATAAAGAGTTTTAGAAACCTTTTGACATTTTTTCTCTTAGAATTACTTCTAAAATTGTCAGTTTCAAACATTTTAGTTCCTTTGTAATACTGGTGTAATTTTTAACAGAAGGGAGGAAGTAATGCTGAAAATTACCAGAATTCTTGACTGGTTAATTATATGGTTTCTATTGCATGGAAGATTTCATCATGAGCTGAGATCAGTTAGAAAACCACTGGAAAATCTGGGAGTATTGGACAGCTTTTTCGTTTAAGTTTGAGATTCTTCAGAGTACGCATCCACCGGAGTTCGAACCCAGGACTTTGTTGTTACAAGGCGAGCTCGTAGACCACTGAGCCACTAGGATCCGACCCAACGGTCCTTGAATTCTAACTTCTGTCAACTCACAACATACCACGACCATTTCTCAATGTCTTCTTCTATGAGTTACCGCCTCATCTTTAACCTCAACCAGTACTCACAGATTTTCCAGTGATTCTCTAACTGATGACAGCTCATGATGAAACCCTCCATGCAATCAAACAACAATCCCTATAAAACCAATACATGTGGTTTCTATATTCTGTAAAAATATAAATGTAGGGAAAAAAATTATGAAAAGCCAAATTGTAAATAATAGGACGAACTGCAATAAAAACCCAAAAGGTATCCCACTGATCAAAGTGAATTGAATTGCTTCAATTTTGCCCATTGATTGATATCAGTTGGAGAGCTAGATGTTTTGTCTCAGCACTCTGAACTCACCGGCTCTGAGCACCCACTGGGGTTATTATTATTATTCGCAGAACGTGGAAAACGTTTTTTCTCTGCAACTGGAAATGCATTTAGAACTTACGGAAGACATCCATTGGAAATGAATATGTGAAAATTTGATCGTATTAGTTCGTTAATTAGAAAAATCATGCGGTATTATTATTCCTTGGCTATAGAGTGGAATAAACGCCTTCAACAACATATCCATACTATGCTCTACGATTGACAAAAGCCTCTCATCTTCTCCTCTACACACGATATCCTCCCTGTCAACCTTTGACTGACGATCCACTCATCGCTTCTCATTGGGATTACGTTTCAAACACACTTTATAGTTAAATGCGATATATTCGAAGTCTTATTCCATAACATACCATTCATAGCTGATATTAGGTTGATGTTTAAGAGTAAAACATCATTTAGGGACAACTGTTTTTGACAATAGACACATAGACTTACAACAGGCTAGGAGAACATTACTCAAAGTCAAACCTAAAGCAGAAATATTTAACAGGCTGGCTGAGATTAACTAGGGTAGTACTCTTTCTCTGGTTGTCTAAATGCTAAATGAAGACATAGGATTCAGCAAATAGACTCTTTTCAACGAATTTATTATCAAGTTGTACAGTCATATATAAGAAAGTATACCTCGTGAGGAAATTAAAACAAAGCTGTGAATACATAAAATATTATGTGCGTCGGTGGCACAGTGGTTAGAACTCTCGCCGACCATGCAACATGGTCCGGGGTTCGAGCCCACGCCGACGAACACCTGATATCTATGGTCGGCCTGCGAAATTTGAGCTACCGATATCCATGCTGAAAATGCCATACTTGTACCAAAAACACAGTGTGGAATCAAGCTGTAATCAAAAATAAAATGAATAAATAATAATAAGTTTGTGGAATTTAGTCGAAATTTTCGTGATTATAATCATAGTTAAATATCCAATGTAAAGTGGCAAGACAAATACTGTCATATAGAGACTGGTTCATAGAATGTATAGACGTTGGATGTGGGTGTAAAATTATGCAATCAGTAGGTGAATAAAAATGTCACATAATATGATGTGAAATTTGATAAGATAGAATTTAACGTTGAAACATATTTTAAAATTCTAAAATGACGAGTGGGATAATTGAGATCATACCGGAAATAGTTCAAAGTGATAATAATAGGAACAACCAACATAATAAGAAGTGAAAGATATACAGATTGAATAAATAAAAGGCAAAGTAAGTAGGGTAAAGTTATCATACTTCAGCCTACTACACTTAATAAGATCATGATATTTGGAGGGCTCGAAGAAACACTTATTGTATACACAGGGATCTGGCTTTTCTATATCGATGGCTAAAACTTTAACCATGCAGATGAGTTGGATAAGCAATAATTTTGGTATGTTATTTCTCACTTTGTAGGCGACTTGAAAGGAACAGGCTGTTCGGATGAGGTGACCAGTATCAACCAGATTTTTAGTGACTGAGCTTTGTATAGTCCCACTTCACCTCTTCACAGCCACACAGAATAGTCTTCTTACAACCTCTAGAATAAAACCTAAGTCAAACGGCTGGTATGTGTAGGCTGAAGTAAGCAGGTGAATTGATAAACGCACATAGAGTTGGTCAACTGAGACATATTTTCCCTTAGGTTATTGAACAGTAGTGGTTAACTAGAGAACGCTATTCTCAACGATGTTGCAGTGTATTCCCCTTTCAGGGACTGTGAAGTCCTTCTTTTAAGGATTTCAGCAGCTGAGTTAAGCATGAGTTCCAGATTCATGTACAGTATTTTCTTGGTTACGGATACAATTTGGGAGAAATCCACTTTAAACCAATAAGTAACCAGCTGCAGAAAGTTGTTCAGCTTGATAATAAATTCATTGAAAAGAGTCTCTTTCTTTAATTCATGGATAACCCCCATCCAGGCATTAATGGAAACAAAACACGTAGTTCAGTGAAGAGCCTCTTTTCGCCGAATTCATTTTCATAGCTGTACAATCACAAATGTATATGGTTGTTTTGTATGTGTGTGTACATTGAGTTTGTCAAACAAAAATGCAACTGGTTTTCGTTATTTTAACTAGACAGGTGAAGATTGGTTGTTGGAGTTGCGTAATACGAAATCAGTCAAGAAAATTAGATGTGAATGAAATGAGGGTAGTAACAAAGATGATGAATTGTCATAAACAGTTGCTAAAAAAGAAGTTATGTAATAATATGAATATTTTGATGATTGAGTTTTACTCAGGATACACATAGGAACAAATAAGAGAATGCGAAATTACTTAAGAGTTCTAAATGAATAAAAGAATTATAAGCAATCAGAGAAACAGGTAAACAAACAAAATTAAGTCATCAAAAATCAACAAAGTTGTTACTATAATAATAGAAGTGGTTGAGTAATTCTCTTCGGTATGCACAGCTTTGATTTTTCTGTCCGAATGACTACAGCTTCAGTGATACAAAGAAGACGAAACCGTATCGCCTTTGGTAGGTTGTTCGTGACTATGTAGTTTGCTGAGATGGAGTGATCAGTGTTAATCAGGTGTTCGATTATCGCACTCCTTATAGCACCACTATTACCTTTTCGCAACCATGCTGGATAGTGTTCTTGAATCCTCTAGAATAGAGTGCGCGTCGAAAGACCGATGTACCTGGTTCCACAGCAGCAGGTGAACTGATATATTTTTTGATTTACAGCTTGATTCCACACTTTATTTTTGGTTCCAGTATGGCATTTTCAGCATGGATATCGGTAGCCCAAATTTTGCAGGCCGACCATAGATATCAGGTGTTCGTCGGCAGGGGATCTAACCTTGGACCATGTGCATGGTCGGTGAGAGTCACTGTGCCACCGACGCACATAGAAGTCGCCGGATGCGGTATCTTGTCCTTGAGGCTTCCGCAGATCAGTGGGCGACTGCAGAACACTATTCTTAGCGTTGATGCAAAGAAGGTTCTTTTCAGAGATGATGTGATCCTTCTCTTGAGAATATCACTTGCTGAATCTCCCTTGATATCTAAGCTAAGCAACTCTTGGTATCCATTGATAACACATAATGCAGTAGACGAGATTGATCACAGAATCTATTCTCATTAAGTTATCACCGCACAATATCCAACTCACATTAAACTATGCTGAGTTTAAGGACAGGAGAAGTAAAACGATTAACAGAATAAGTACCAAATCAACAGTAGAAATAGGTCAACGGAATGAGAAAAAAATTGACAGAAAAGTACTTTAGCACGCTCATAAGCTGTAAATTTTGATCTAAACGTCATTATTAAGGTTATATGCCCACGTAATTTTTGATTATTAAGATTACATACGGAATATAGTGTCCTTATTAGAGCAATCACAAACCAAGCAAGAAATACTGTCACACTATTCTTCTCAATGCGGTGGGTTGGGGAAAAAGGGGAATTTAAGAGGAATTTGACCTTAACCAGAAACTACTTCCATGCCAGTGGAACAGTTGAACTAAAGAAAAAAATATAAATATGTCGGAACTGCCGTAATGAGACATTTTATTAATGCTAATTTCGTCTTTGATGACAAAAAATGAAAATAAACTATGAATCTACTTTAATGGGGAATATTTATATGTATGGGGTATCAGGCATTAATGCAATATTTTTGTTTTAATGTCACTAGAAATTTTATAACGTCAAGTATGTCTCTCGCTTTCTCTCTCCGATTATGCAAATGAGCAGTTGATTTATAGATGCTCTTATCGCTATTACTTTTATTCTGTGACAGTTGTCATTAGCATAGATTGCAAATATATATGAGTAGTAAGTACATATACAATTAAAACTCTACTCAGTATACTGTATAACTTTATTTCATGGACTTTATCAACTTATTGACTGAGAAATTGACTGTATAATAATCATGATAATAGTAGCGGTAATAATCATTTCAATCTGAAAAGTGCATTTACACACAATACAAGATTTTCAGGGCAGTTTCAAGGCGAAATATTTTTGCTCCTTGTTCACAGACAAAAGCTTTCTCCAGTACTTTTTCACAGTATTCTTCCTACATTTCCTTTGAAATATTCCTAGTGATAAGTAGAAACATATTTCGAATTGTGCACGAGTAGAGATTGTGTCTCATTGTTGTAATTAGAGCATTAAAACAACACGAAACGGAGTAGACAATTTAAACTTTTATGGATAGAAAATTTAGGTAGTCCAGTGACTTAAACAAGCCACCGCATGA